TCAAGCAAGCTCAGCAGCACCAGTTACTGCGCTGTCCTGGACGTTGGTCCTATGGCCAGATTTTGCCGTGGGCAGGGAGTTGCCTGTCACGACTCTTTGTGAGACCCATCAAACTTTCTGTCCTAATGCGAAGATCTGAAAAATCCCTGAATTTCCTGACAGCATCAGAATTAACTGTATACAAAGCTGAATTTTAATCAAAGTTCATAAACCGTTACTGCCCATTTAGCTAACAGGAAATACAGCAAAATCTGATTGAATCAGCTCTGGTATTTTCATCTGAGCTTTATGAAACTAATGGCCTGTCCACTTTATGCAAAGCCTTTTATTCTCACTGAGCAAATATTATTTCTAATTATCTGCCTAACATGTGTACAAAAAGTGATAAAAGCAGTGCAGGTAGTCACACAGAGCGTGGTGGGGGGGATTGGCGTGTAGCCTGGATAGCACAAGTAACGAAAAGAAGCACAAAGTTACAGAATAAATACAAATGCAAACATAGCCATCACTGAGAAATAACCTTTCCTGCTAGCTGTAATTAAACACTCAATAGAGACACTTCCTTTTAAACACAACTTGCAAGGAAAAAAACCCTTAGGCAGCCTTGACTGAAGAAAATTTTCCATCCTCTGGTAGTTGTTGTGTCCACGTTCTTTCCACATAAAGTCTACTGAAACTGTGAGTATGTCTAATTAAACAAAACCCATGTGAGAATACTGATATCATCATATGCTGTAAACCAGCATTTTACAGCGCAAGTGCCTAACCTAATGCATTTACCCGTGCTTCCAAAATTCCAGCTGGGGGCGGGAGGTCACTGTTGCTGCTACTCCCCAGTGGTGCTTTGGGGGTTTCCAGTCCCCCTGTCTGCAGGGGTTCTCACACCGTGTTTGCTCCCGCCTGCTGAGAGCATCTCCCAGCAGTGTGCTGAGCAGCATGACTAATGGCTCACCCATGGTCACCCTTTCATCCTCTCCCCAGGGCGATGAGCACGAGCACGTGCATCAAGCACCTTGTTTTTGCAGGGTTGCTTGGGGTGGGTTGGTTGGTTTGCTTTGCTTTTGCTGTTGTTTCTTATTTTATCTAAACTTACGTACTTAACTAAAGTTGCACGCTTGGCTGCACAGGAAGAACAAGGTCAAAGACTTGCTGCTTGTGCTTGGGGCAGGCAACACTGAGTTTTTCAGGTCATGGTGAAGTTGGTCCCATAGTCATGGATCAGCCCCAGGAAAGTTGTGCCTGACTTGGGGGTCCTAGGTGCTGAATACTTTAGAGAGAGAGATGAAGAAATCAGGGCCATTCCCACAAAGTAATACTGAGAGTGTAAGAGTAGCCAGGACAAATAAATTTTTGCAAGCAGCATTTTCAACTACACAATTCATGCATCCTTAATTTCTACAAGTCAGATTTTCCCCATGTTATTTTCCTTTCCTGTAGTGTCTTCATCAAAGCTATTCAAAATTACTTTGTAAATATGAATTCACTCTCTCAGACTTTCCTCACAGGTAGGTCACAAGGTAGTATTGCTCTGTGAAGAGAAATGGAAAACTGAGACCTAGAAATTTGGGACTGAGCGCAATTCACTAACATAAGCACTTGCATGAAGAAATGCCATGGGGTGTCGAAGAGCTCTAGTGGGGCTAAGAGGCCTGAGGCACGTAAGGCAGACCCAGCAGAGCCTCGCAGGGCACCCTAGGAACTGAAGGTTGTGGTCCTGACAGCTCAAAGAGAAATCTAGTTTAAATCCCCATCCCCACCCTAGCAAATTTGACAATGGTCCCCTGCTATCTCCCCCCAGGCTTGTTCGTCCATTCAGCTGTGAAGAACAGCCATGAGGCTCCCAGTAGAACATTCAGCAGTGAAACAGTTAACACCACTCTTTCAGGTTTCCTTAGATTTCCAAGTTAGGTTGAAGTGCACGCTCAAAGAGAAATCTAGTTTAAATCCCCATCCCCACCCTAGCAAATTTGACAATGGTCCCCTGCTATCTCCCCCCAGGCTTGTTCGTCCATTCAGCTGTGAAGAACAGCCATGAGGCTCCCAGTAGAACATTCAGCAGTGAAACAGTTAACACCACTCTTTCAGGTTTCCTTAGATTTCCAAGTTAGGTTGAAGTGCTCGTGCAATCCATCACTTCTCACAGCAGGCTTTTGCATTCACGCTCCTTAAACTGCTATCCTGAAGTCTGAAGATTTTATTTTGAGTAAGAGCTTAGGGCCTGGAGTTGTAATTGGGCTGCAGCTGAGAAGGAATCCACACATTGCAGTCATTTATCTGGCCACAAAATCACATCATAAATAGAGCCCTGCCTACAGGATACCACTTATCTGATGAGGAGGTGTTAAGACTGCCTCAGTTATTACCATTTGTACGTGGTCTGAAAAACTAAGTCAGAGGAAAGAAAGGAGACATAAGACTTAGCAACTCTTATTTGCATTAACTTGGCCAGCCATTTCTCCCTTTGCCGAGGTTCAGATAGGGAAATGGAAAAAAAATTAACTGCTAGGTTAGTAAGCTGGTAGCACAGTGCCATCCATCAGTAGAACATAAGGTTGTTAGGCAAATCAGTGTTTCTGTGGTACGTACCTCACAAGACTAAAAATTAAGTTTAGAAGCGTCATTTCTCCCTAGGAGCTCAGCGAGCATAGGACATCCACTGAGATGGTGAGAGGATTGCTTGGAAGACAGCAGGGCCTTATTGAAAAGAGATTTGGGGGAGAAGGTGTAGCATACAGAGAGCACAGGGCAATGGCACACATTTTCTCTAGAAATATGAATAGTGCAGGGCTTGAAGAATAGATTAGGTGACGCGTTAGAGGGGAAGTGAGGATGAGCAGTAAAAAAGGGGACTGGGCCGGGCTGTACTTTCCAGCTCTCTCTGGTGAGATCAAACAAGCACCACCAGTCCTCTTCCAGTGAGTCACTTGTGAAATTCATGTTCCTCTCATACTAAAAGCTTCTAGGCTGCAAACTGTGGACTAGATCATTACAATGATAATGTCAAGCACATTCAAGTACAGAAAGCAGAAGATAAATTCCCTTCCTTGAACAGTTTTTCATATTTAGAGCCAAGGAAGAGAAACAATGGAGGATTCCCCAATACAACTCCAGAGAGGACAAATCATTGTCTTCCGCTTGTGTCTAAGTCCTACCTTTGTTAACAGTCCTGTTTTCAGAGTTCTGCCCCCCAAATGTGTGCCACAGCACTTGGTGGAAGTATATGCAAGCCCGGCAGGTTGTGTGAATGTCTGCAGTGCCTCTCCAGACAACCATAATGACGTTGGGGCAATTTGACCCCGTGGCAGGCCAGAACAGCTTTTTCCACCTTATGCACGTTGACAGCTTTTCTGCAAGAGCCAGAACACTGAACCTAGCACTGCTTGCTTGTTTTCCAGGTCGTGCACTGCTGGTCCTCCTGTTATCTGCAACAGTGTCTCTCCTGGGTGGGTTGATATTTGGATATGAGCTGGGGATTATCTCTGGTGCACTGCTGCAGCTGCAGATAGACTTTCACCTCAGCTGCTTCAAGCAGGAAGTTCTGGTGAGCTCCCTACTCATTGGAGCTCTCCTTGCCTCGCTGGTTGGGGGGATCCTCATTGACCACCATGGAAGGAGGAGAGCAATCCTCGTCAGCAACTTGGTCCTGTTGTTTGGCAGCCTTATTCTGACATTGGCAAGGTCATTTATTGGACTGGTCATTGGACGCATGACCGTGGGCTTTGCAGTCTCTGTCTCCTCCATGGCCTGCTGCATCTACGTCTCAGAAATGGTGGCTGCTCATCAGCGAGGGCTGCTGGTGTCTCTCTACGAAGCAGGCATCACCGTAGGCATCTTACTGTCATATGCGCTGAATTACATCTTTGCAGATGTGACTGAGGGGTGGAGGTACATGTTTGGACTGGCGATCGCCCCAACTGCCATGCAGTTCCTTAGCATCCTCTTTCTCCCAGTGAACCCTGTTAAATTAAACTCTTGGGACTCAGACTCCCAGAAGGGTCTCATTCAATTGCAGACCACTGAAGACAGAGAGGTAGCAAAGCAGGAGCCATATAAGGAGAAGCATTACTCTTTTCTTGACCTTTTCAGGACCAGAGACAACATGAGAAGCCGGACTCTGGTGGGTCTGGGACTGGTGCTCTTCCAGCAATTCACTGGGCAGCCCAACGTCCTGGGCTACGCTTCCAAAATCTTCCACTCAGTGGGATTCCAGAGCAATTCTTCTGCGATCCTGGCCTCTGTTGGGCTGGGGGCGATCAAGGTGGTCGCCACGCTCGTTGCAATGGTGTTTGCAGACAAGGCTGGCCGGAGAGTGTTGCTCATTGCTGGCTGTGTAGTGATGGCAGTCTCTGTCACCACCATTGGCCTCACAAGCTGCACCCCCCCGCTAGCCATGGCCAGGGACTGTAAGGCAGCTGCAGACCCCAATGCCTCCCGCACGCAGCATCCTGCATCCTCCCAGCCCCCTATGTCACACATCCCACCCGCATTAGGGGCTGGCGGAAGCCAGGCAGGCCCTGGTTTTGCCACAAGGGGTGCACAAAGCAGAGGCGTCCTTACTGGTTCTTCCCACGCTCAGAAAGTGGACTTGGCAGATCAGTCCAAAAAAGAGACAGTGGAAAACATGGGGTCTCCTGCCAGTGGAGCTGCCTTTACGGAACATATGGTTTTAAATTGGATTATGCTGCTGAGCATGATGGCTTTTGTGAGCGCCTTCTCTGTTGGATTTGGACCAAGTAAGTATGGTGTTTATATATCCTTGCACTAACCCAGAGAATAAAGCTAGCGTTGATCTTTACAGTCCCGTTGAAAAACAGTCATTACACATCTGCTTTACCAAGCAGCTGGGTGTCTGGAAACTAGAAAACGTACCCCTTCAGCCTACTGAATGCTTTCCTACTAGTCCAGCTCCGTCACCTATAGGGCTGGTACGGCATCAGGGCAAGCTTCCCTTCCACACTATCACTACCCTGGTAGTGGCTTTTTTCTGTCACGCTCATTGCAAAATCGGAGCATCCCACAAGCACTTCCTAATCTTCTTATTGTTCTTTCTTGAAGGTTTCTCACTATCAGTTGGTCTTCTTCTGAAATTATTTTTCATTCATTGGGTGAGAATACAGATTAGTTCTTACTTCCTTGTGACTGCTAGCATTTTCTGGCATTTATTGTTTTAAATGCTTTGGTGAGAGAAAATAACATCTAAGGAAGTGAGTGGAAAGAACTTGAGGAAAAACATAAGTGCACAGCAAGTCCTGTAAGCTTGACAGTGACCCTTTAAATTATTTTGAGCAAAATAACCCTAGGATAGGAGAGACTAATATATACATTGCTTTCAGCTCTGATTTTAGCCCAAATGCAGCACTGTATCTCTAATCCTGCCTTTGTCACTTCCTTACAAAGAGTGTGTCCCAGCAGCAGGCTTGATTTGCCAGATCTTTTCCATCCGATGAGTGATCAGCTCCCCTGCTTTCTTGTTTGCTCACTGGACCTGTATCTCTGTATTTTTATATTATGCTCCACAGAGTGCTGCAGGTAGAAGTTTTAAAGCAGTCGGCTGTTTACCACCAACAGCTGTGAGTGCTAGGCGAAGCGAAAGCTTGGTGCTCTATAACTTCCCCCCCTCAAAATCTTACTTGCCCGTTTCCCAAATAAGTTGCTTAAACCGTACGATTGTCTTTCTAACCTCTCTAATCTCTGCAGTGACCTGGCTAGTCCTCAGTGAGATCTACCCTGCTGCGATAAGAGGAAGGGCCTTTGCCTTCTGTAACAGCTTTAACTGGGCTGCTAATTTACTGATCAGTCTCTCGTTCCTGGACCTTATTGGTAAGTGTCCCCCCAGCCCTCCATTTCCCACTGGTAGGTCTGTGAAGGTGTCCACCACAAGCTGTCTGGACATTAAGTGCATTTTGAGCCCTGGGGACTTGGCACTGGAATAGGTGTGACTTGTTTGTGGAGAACTGTGCCTTGGAGAGCAGATTTACTAGACAAAACAGGCAACATCCACCTGCTTAACTGGCAGATGCTATTCTGAGTCCCTCTCTCAGGCATTTCATAAGAAACAGCCATCACCCTGTGGGCTCTGCTATGATACTGTGGTATCAGGAAACCGTGGAGTTTGCAGCTTTAATGTCTGTAGCTTTGGAGCCTTTCCTGCTGGCAGAGCTGTCTTGATTGAGGATTCACCCGGCACTGCTGGGCCATGGAGCTGAACTGCTGTCTTGCTCCTTCTGTGGCCCTGCTGGGCCAAACTTGGGGTGTCAGATGTGTGTGAGCTGTCCTTCTCCCTGAGCTGATTCCTGGTTCAGCCCTTGCAGATAAGCCCTTTTGAGGGCTTCAAGATACCCCTACCAGACGCTAATGACTACCTTGCAGCGAGAGACCAACTTCCTTCATATCCCATGATATGACTTACCTCTCACGAACCCTTCACACGCTTGAATCTCTCTGCAGATGCCATTGGTTTCTCTTGGATGTTTCTTCTCTATGGACTGATGGGAGTGATGGCTGTTATATTTATTTATCTCTTTGTTCCGGAAACGAAAGGACAGTCCTTAGAGGAGATAGACCAGCAGTTCTCACGGAAACGGTATGTGTGCTGTTGTGCCAAAGTGACAGTGGTGTTTCCTGCCATTGAGCCGCTCCTGCTTTGAGAGTACCTACCCCAAGCTCCCATTCATACCTGAGGTCTATAGCTTTAGACAGTCCAGGCCTACAGTTCCTGGTCTGTTGTAAAAGTCTAGTCAACATAGTGCAAATATCTCAAGTTTACAAATGGACCATTAAATGGAGTGTGTACTCAGTGGCACATTACATCAGACCTGTTCATTGCCCTGTGCCCTATTGCCCTGCTGCTGAAGGGCACTAGTGACAGTCAGGGGAGGAAAAGGGGCAAGAAACCTGGATTTGTGAGTCAGGAGAGGAAGCAGGAGCAGAGGGGAACAAAAGGGGCAGATAGGATTGTCATTTCCCCTACTTAGACTAGTCTTAGGTTGATCCCTCAGCTCTGAGGCAGGCGCATCTCCCTGTGCAGCGCAGGCCACAGGTTCTCACCCAGTGCTTTCTGTGCAAAGTCTGCGATTGCTGGCTGGGCTAGAGAAGATCATGTGGGATTTATGCAATTGTGGTTGTGAAGGGAAATCCCAGGAGGTGACTGCTGGTATGCGACAGGGCAAGAAAGGCCAGGGTGGAGGGAGATGGTGCTGCCAGGCAGCTGTGATGGCAAGAGGTAGAAGCACACACCACACAGGGATGGGGTTGGTCGTGGGGGAGAGGTAACTCCTGCTGTACATACAGGTCTGTCTAATTCCTTACTGGGAGCAGCAGGTGCTTCAAGTGACCTTAGTCATTGCCCAGCAGGTTGTGGAAAGGAAACGTGTTTCGACCAAGACGTGGAAGAAGGACAAGCTGCACACATGCTCAGTACCAGAGAGTGGAGTATGCCAACAGCACGTGAAACAACTGACTTACCACCAGTGTCGTCCTGACAAAAGGAGTAGCCTCTGGGGCACCAGGAGATACCTCATCAATGGCCTTTAGCTGGTGATCCCTGTCCACAGAAAGGTTTCACTGTAGTGCCTTAAACTTTGGGAGAGTAACAGCATCTTTCCTTTGGGTCCTTGGAGAATGCTTGGTTGCAGGCATGGAACATGTCCTTCCTTTGATATCCTTTATTGTTCAAGGGACACCATAGTCTGTGCCTGCCATCATTTAAGAGATTAATGGTTTTGTATGTGGGAAATAAAGCACAACTTTAGCTGACAATGCTTTCCATCCGTATTATTCATTTGTAGACAAAGTGTATTATTTTCCAGTTCTCCGAAGTACTTATTGCTTTAGAGAGGAGAGGATATTGCAGGTGGAATGTGTCAAACACTTAGCATTGTACTTTAATGTCATCACCCTTTATAACTTCTGTGTAGGAGCCTGGAGTTTGAATTTGGAGCTAACTTAGCTAAACACTCTGTTTCAGTGGAGACAGACTGAGTGTTAGCTCACAGACTGCTTTTTCTCATAGCGCAAAGGCCTAGCAGCTTGCACATTTGATTTTACAAGGCTATGTCTACACAGATGTAGATTTAGATTTACATCTCGTACGCATATTTGGCTGCTTTTTTTTTTTTTTTTTGTACACAGAGGCTGTTTTGCATTCATAACCAGGACTTGCATGCACAAAAATGCATGCAATATTCTGGTGCCTTCTTACAGCTGTACATTCTCTGATTAATTTTTTAGGCCCTGTCATCCCTCCTCCTGATACATATACACTGTAAAAAAACCACATCACACTCATTTCTGAAAGCTTATGAGAAGGGAGAAGCTGGCTCCTGTCCTACCGACCATCCAGCTTTGCCTCTTCTGAACCCCAAAGGAATCAAGTCCCAAAGGTCGGTGCATTTGGCTGAAAATGCAACCACTGGGCAGCTCTTTGGGGACCAACACTCATTACAACGGGCCGCTTGGTTGGCACCACAGTCATGCGTGGAGGATGTGGCTCAGACCAGCTAACGGCATGTGGCCATGTCAACCAAATCCCCTGTCTCAAAGAGAGGTCAGGTCACAAAAGCACTGGAAAATGATCTCCTGTCTTTGGCTGTAATTCATTCCATGACCATTCAGTGATTGCTCAAATCACTTTTTGGAAATGCTTGTCCCTTCCCATTCCCAAGGAAGTGCCCCCAATCTTCCTTGCTCACCTCTGCTCCAGCTGGGAACACCACCAGGCCTTGCCCTGTTTGTTTTAGCAGGCCCTTGGGAAGCAGCTAGAAATGCCCTAATTTTTGAAGACCCTCATGCACTGCAGATGCTATTGCCTCAAGGGATGCAGTGACACCTGTAAAATATAAAATACATACTGTCTTCCTAAAGCTGTGAGCCTTCCTCAGAAGCCCGTGAATACTGAGCTGTATCATGGGTTGTGCTTCGACTTACTGGGAAAAGAAGAACTGATGCTGTCTTAAAACCTAGACTCTCATCCTCCTGATCCTGACTGCAGCCTATGGCCCTTGGTAGTGGAGTCACATATTTATCCCGGGAGCCCTGGACACAAGGGAATCTGTGTGCATGCTGCATGTGCTTGCATGCACACATACGTATACTTGTGCTACAGAAGTGATCCTGAGAAAGGGCAGCAGACCTAAAGGAATGTTTTTCTTTACAGGCTGTAACCATTTCCTCCCTACCACTAGCAGCAAAGGGGATGTTAGAAAGCACTCTTTGCTGGCGTTGCATTTGTTGCAGCCTTGGGGGCAAGGGCAGCCACAGCCCCACTTTGCGGTCAACCTCTGGATCTGGGTAAGGACTCTCTCCAGCACTCACGTCAGGCCTCTCAGTGAGGGTAAAAAAAGTGCACTGTCTAGTGTCGACCACGAGGTGACACCCAGAGACCAGGAGAAACCATTCCTTCTTCCCTAGGATGTAAAGGCCTTGCTCTGATTTGTTTTGTACCTGACACAGCAAGTTCACCCTGGCGCTAGGAGTGCCAGCCTGGAAATACACACACACACACACACAAACACACACACACACACACACACACACACACACACACACACGCGCACACACACACACACACACACACCCCAATCCCATCTGGCAGGGCATTCAGGACCAAAAATCTCAGCCCATCTCGCCCCTTGGATGCATCTTCTGAGCCAGAGGGACTCCTTCGCCCTGGAAAGCCGGGATGCTGGTCCTTCCCCACCCTGTGTCATTGGGCTTGGGGGAGTCAGTGGGGAAGGGAGGACTATTTGAATGCAGATTCAGAGAAGCCAGTGACATCTATTCAGTGCAGTGTGTGCTGGGGAGCTGCCTCGCAGGAGGGAGTACCACTGCAAAGGTGCCTGTACTCAGGCTGTGTGCGTAGGCTTAGCTCTGTTCTGCACTTCCTGGCAGCTCCCTTCCAGGACACCTGGCCCATGTCCTCCTTACAGGCAGATCTGAGAGGAGCCTGCAGGTCTTTTCTGTGCTGCAGAGGCTGACCAGGGCTGGGGGCCCCAGAGGATAAAAAGCTGCAGCTGGCAGCCCCTAAGCTGGGCTGGCTGATGGGCGCAACAAGCAGGACCATGCAGGTTCAGAGGGGAGCAATTTAGACCAGGGGCATTAAGCAGGGCTGCTGATATTGCCAGGCTCTGTGGGTGGTGGTACAGAAAGCTTTAAGTTAGCTTGCTGTAGGGGAGTAGGGTAAGAGGGCTCTCTTTCCTACTTTTTTGCAGGAGTATTCAGCTACTCTGGACTTCCCAAACTCAGCAACTGAGGATCGTAAGACAGGTGGAGGCCGGTCCACGGCACAGAGCGCACTATACCTAAGGCATCTCTACTCGGGGCAGGCTCTGCACTCACACGGCAGCAAGTGCACAAAGCGCAAGGCACGGGCAGCAGGTCCCGGGAGGGCCTCAGGGACGTGGCAGAGCAGATTCCCCTCATTCCCATAGCCCTTGAGGTGCGGAAGGGGATGCATGGTCTAGGGAGGAAGGGCTTCCTGCTGGGGGGATGCATCTGGTCTCTTCAATGAGCCCAACCTGCCAGCAGATATCATGGGGTCCTGCACCCTAATCGTAACAGAGCTGGGCTGGTGGCACTGAGAAAAGGAAAGGTCATAGAGGAGTGTTTAAATGAGAAGTCAGAGAAAAGGCAGTGGGTTCAGAAATCCAGACTTACACCTCCGATGAGGGGGATGTAGTTACAGTGAAAGACCAGGAGGACAATAAATAGTGCCTTTGCAATAGGCCAGGAAGGTGAATTTGATCACGTGTAACACCAGCAGACCCACAGGAACAGTATTAAGCAACAAAGCAAGGCCAAAACCTGCAAGTGCTTCTTTATCTATACCGCAAGCTTTAAAAAAAAAAAAAAAAAAAGATAATGCCAGGCATTCTCATTGCCCTAAATGACAACACTAGTGTACAGGCATTTCAGCGAGCTGCTGGAAGGCGAATAATCACTGGGTTAAATGTTGCTGGGCTACCAGCTGCAGAGGAATGATGGAGTGGGATGTGCGGGGCGGAGAGGTGGCACTGTGGGTGAAGGATTGCATTGAGTAGAGCAGCAGAAAAAGAGCATCACTAGAGTATGCTTGAAATGGGAAATCCAATGGGAATGGGACTCTAGTAGGAAAAATTTAGAGCCAGGACTGTGCTACTGACTGCTGAACAGCATGAAGATAACGGTCAGAAAAATAAAATGAGATTAGAGAAGCTGAAATTCAGGTCAGATGGTAATAGTGGGAGATCTCAGCTATCTACATGTAGATTGACTCAGTGATTCATCAGGATGAAATAACATTTTTGGATGCAATAAACGACAGTCTCCCAGAACAACCAGTCTTAAACCTACGAGAAGAGCAGCTGTGCTAGTTTGGATCTGCAGTGGTGCCCAGGACCTACTTCACAAGGTGTTTGTGGGAGAGCTGCTCTCTACCGGTGACCACAATACAACCAGTTTAATGCTGTAGCGGGAGAGAGCACACCAAATAAATCCAGCATGTGGCTATGTAATTTCAAGAAAGGGAACTATGAAAAAATGAGGTGATTAGTCAATAACAACAACAAAACTAAAAGGAACAGATGAGAAGCAAGAAGCCTGCAAGTAGTCTGGAGGTGATTAAAAAATACTCTATTAAAGCCCAAATGTGCCGCAGCTCAGAGAAAACCAAGAGGTCCTAAAAAACATTCTGCCTGTCTCAACAGGAAGGGTAAGGAGGTATCACAGGGAGAAGGTCGGCATTTTAAAAGTGGAAAGATTCCCTACGTGGGGAGAATGGCAAAACACATAAAACACAGCGAGTTGAGTGTAGACAGAAAATTCAAAGGACTAAGAAAGAACATGAAGATCTCTTTGCAAAGATTGCTTAGACTGATAGAAAAAATTTCTTTAAATATATCAGAAGAAGCTGGCTAGGGAGCCAAGGTGATCGTGCGATTACAAAGGTGTCAGTAGGTACCAGGGAGGAAAAGTCATGGCAAGGTAGCTCAGGTATTCTTTCTTTTTGTCCTCACTGCTGCAGAAATCTGGGAGATCCTCACACATCATTCATTCTTCGTAGCCAGTAGGTTAGAGGAACTAGATCACTTTAAGGTAAATATAACATCATCACTAATGGCTACCGTATCAGAGGACTGGTAGGTTGCTAGTGTAGCTCCTACCTACAAAACAAGCTCTAGAAGGGATCCTGAGAAACGCGGACAGGCAAGTTTGACCTCTGCCCTGCTGAGGGGGAAGATTTCGCAAGACCACTGAGCAAATAGTCAGGTGGGAAAGGGTCAGCAGATGTGGCTTGAGGATGACATGGATGAGGAGACTCCAATGGAGACAATAGGTTCAGGTTCTCAAAAAGCTTTTGCACTGATTATTTTAAAGAATTTACATAGCCATGGGATTGAAAGAAAGTATTGAGGCTTATGTGCTCTCCCTAAATGTCATCTTCTACTGCCACTATTGGAGCTGGAAGTTTGTGCCAAATGGAGCACTGATCTGACCCAGTGGGGAATTTCTTGCATGATGGGAAGGTTGAAAAGGGGTTGCCAGGCCAAGCTGTGGGCTGGTGCCATCAGGAATCTTCTGACTCCCGGGCTGGGGCTGGGGATCGAAGGTGGGTCGATGCTTTGGGTTAAGATGAGGGTTAAGCGGCAAGGCAGAGGGACAGGGGCGTTTGTGATGGAAAAGGCAGGGAAAGTTGCAGGCTCATATCAGAGGCTCGTACCACATGCCTGGGCCACAGCAGAGGCCACTGAGGCCTCTGAAAGGTTTCTGC